AACCACAAATCCACAAACTTTTGCTCCTTCACCTCGATTTCAAGCATGCAAGAAACTTACTTCCTTTTCTTAAGCCGTGTTGGTTCAAGTATCTTAACTACTTTTGTCTAGCTATTTATATATAAATTATGCAGAAGGTAATTAAAATCCTTACAAAGGATTCTTGCTCTTCATCGTGCTGTTGCACACTTTTTGTTGCAGGTGTGTGACGCTTTTACTTCATCGCAGGAGCGTTCAAGGTGTTTGGTGCTTTAAGTAAAAATGTGACGCTATAGAATCGTAAGGCAATCTATTTAATGAATATAAAGTAGTTATAAGGAGTTAATACACACAAATATGTATATCCGTTTAAAATTCTATAATATAACGCCTACATTTGTGTAATAAGAAGTATTTTTTCTGGGTTAACTGAAAGGAGTTTATATTGATATTGTTTCTTTTAATTTTCTTTTAGTTTCTTTTAGTTTATATATAGATATTGTATATAGATTAGTTTATATATAGATATCATTTATTTTATTACCTTAACAAATGGGATATAGGTATACTAAAAGATACAGTATTAAGGTGAGTAGTAATGTCGTATTTCAGTCAGTGGACCGATAGCGTATCTGATATGTTAGCGACACCGATTATTACTAAAAGTTAAGAAGCTGACCAAATCTTCTAATTGCTGATGGATCATATATTTGTTTCATTTTTGACCCATGATCAAAATCTTACCTAAATTCTTTTTTTTATTTATTTCTTTCTATAGATCAAAAGCATCGAAAGCCACAGTGAAAATAAATATACTTCAACCATTGCACCGTAAAGGTTGAAAGCTAAAACCCCATTTCAGTAATCAAGAGTAAGAAAGATCAATCTGGTCGCAGTGCTCATCTCCGTCCGGAGCTAGTGCCTCGTTTATTCCTATCAAGAGAAAGGCAGAGATTAGAAGATAGAAAAGTCTTAGTATTAAGACCACAAATACATCTACGCCAAAATTTTAAAACAAGTGAGGGAAGGAATGTGAGGACGGTTTTGCTAGGTGGTAATTACTGACTATGAATAAACTCTGTTCAAGGGATTATTGTAATTACGATTGTGGCGAGGCATTACAAGAGTGAAATGCACGTTATCATTCAGATAAAGGAACAGAAATATAGGAGGCTTCTACCATTGGGCTGAGTGAAGAATATCATGGGGAGGATTGTGAGGATTGGAATCCACATAAAGAGCAAGGAATTGGAAAAATTTTTAGTTCATATTATTAAGCAGATCAATGGAAAATTGAGCTGGGGGAAGAATATCAGTGGGAATATTATGAGACCTGAAAGGTAAACAAAAAGTCAATCAATTGCTAGATATTAGAAGAGTTGTTTATTATTATTAAATAATAGTCTTTGAATGCACCGCGATCTAAAAGATCTATTGTGCGACTAAATGGTCAACTGAAACAATTTTAGACCATTTATAATCTCGGTACTGCTGTGGGCTTAATTTTACCTATTTTATTTGGGACCGACATGTAGCAAACGAAGTTTGGAAAAATACCTGCCATCAACTCTGGGTTTGTAGTCAATGTAGTCTTGAAGGATTTTTCTTTTCAATGCTCAAATGTGTTCCATTTAATGGATTGCGTTTCCGGGTCAAATGGAAAATGAGTATACAAAGGCTCATTAGTTGCTTTATTACAAGCAACTAATGAGATTTGTTATTTGTACGTTTTGGTATTTTATGTCAAAGTCGAAGAGTGGCATTGGCAAAGTGATGAGGTGATAAACACGAAATGAAAATGTGTTTAATTGTGAAGACGTTTGCTCAGTATTTTAACCTATGGATAAGGGGAAGACCTTTAAATTCGAAGGTTTATGTATGGCTGAGGATCTATAGCCCCTGGAATGGTTATGATAACTGTTAAGAAAAGCAATTTCTGGTTTTTGAGGGATTGAGTTTGGATCAAAAACTTTCTTTTGAAATTATTAGACCAGCATGCGTAAAGAAACTGCATTCTTTTTGGATGAAAATGTACCTTTTTATGTTTTTTATACTTGCCATGTATGGTTGAGGATTTATAACCCTTGGAAAGGTTATGATATCTATTAAGAAAAGCAATTCTTTTTTTTTTGAGTGGATTTATGAGTGGACTATGATTTAAAACCGATTCGATCCACATCATATTAATCGTATGGTATCTGCGTAAAGAAACTGCATTCTTTTTGGATGAAAATGTACCTTTTTATGTTTTTTATACTTGTCATGTATGGTTGAGGATTTATAACCCCTGGAATGGTTATGATATCTGTTAAGAAAGGCAATTCCTTTTTTTTGAGTGGTTGAGTTGGGATCAAAACCATTCTTTTATATCCATTAGATCCACATCATATTAATCGTATGGTAACTGCATAAAGGATTTGCATTCTTTTTGGATGAAAATGTTCCTTTTTGAGTTTTTTATACTTGTCATGTATGGTTGAGGATTTATAACCCTTTGAAAGGTTATGATATCTGTTGAGTTGAGTTTGGATTAAAACCTTGCTTTAAAACTGATTAGATCTAAATTATACTAATCGTTTGGTAACTGCGTAAAGAATCTGCATTCTTTTTGCATGAAAACTTATCTTTTAATGTATTTTATACCTATTATCACAAGTCGGATAACTTTTCTGCTGACTGATTCTCTATAACTAAATGTATCCGAATGCTTGTCTAAAATTTTTGCTCTATTATTCAAATTTTTTCAACTTTAATTATATGAAAAATTCTGAATCGGCATTTTAACCGTAATTTTAATAGCGATTTATCTTAATTACTAATGCTAATAATTCTAAATTACAGATTTCTATATAATGGCAGTGTGAAATTTTTGGTGACCTGCTTTCAGATGGTCAGGAAAAAAATATGATTTCCTTTGAAATTTATTTGAAGAGAATTTGAAGTTATGTATAAATATATAAAAATATTTATCAAAAATTATTTTGTTAAAATATTTGAAATTTTTCTCAAAATAGTTGACTTTACAAAATTAAACAAATAGAAAATCTAAAAAGCAATTCAATTAAATTAAAAAGGGACATCTTGATAAATTTACAAAGATGATGATAAGAAAAATAGACTAAAAGCAAAAAACATTTACATTTTACATGTTAAAAATGTATGAAGTTCATTGTGGGATGAGGTGTACTGACATTAGCTCCATTTGCCCTGCATAGAGACAATGGGCCAAGATATTTGAGAACGAAAGAAGAACTTAACCTGCAGCCTAAAACAATTTATTTTAAAATGTTTAAGGGCAATATTACTCTAACTAACAACCAACCAACCAAGCAACAATAAAAACAAAAACAAAAACAACAAAAAGAGCCGACTAAAAAACAACTCATAGTAGGCCTAATGTGCGTCAAGTCCATTTTAAAGTCAATGTGGAGAGAAGCCTTACTGCAGTCAAATTAAATAAACTCATAGCAAAAATTGCACGTATCTGCACTTGAGCTATGGTCACAATGGATATGCTCGTCCAGATTATATTACCTTGCCTTCGACACGATACGAATATATATACATAACGTTTTCTTTGTAAATGTAGTAGCAATAAAGTGTGTGGAGCGGACAACAAATGGAGTTAGTGAGCGAGTGAGTGAGTGAGTGAGGTATGTTCATAATACTTTTACTCCATATAAAGTTAACACAGAGTTGGCTTACTTCGTTATTTGCTTTATTATATGTCGTGTCTGTCTTCTGTCTTCTGCCTGCTGCCTGCTGCCTTCTGTGTTTAAAGTGTGTCGTCGTCGTCTGCTTGAAATTCAACACTTTTGAATGTTTTCGAACCTTTTTTGCTTTTGTAATGTTTGCCGTGTGCTGCAGCCTGCAGTTAACGCACTGCTTTTTTTTGAATTAAGCATTAAGTCCACTGCTCTGCTGATGTTGACTACGTTTACTACATTAAAGCCTAGGCTAATGCTTTTCCTTTAAACCTGAACTTTTTCTTTTCTTTATTTTGCTTTTGGTTTTGGTTTGTTTGGCTTTTTGTGGATTAGTGTGCACATTACATTATCAATGTGTGCGTGTGTGTGTGTGCGTGAGAGGTTGTGCTTCGGTGTGTTTTTTACGTTGTTCTGTTGTTTACTTAGGATAATACTATAAGCAGCATATTGGCATTTTCGACCATTCACTTGAGCTTTCGAACATTTTTGTATCCTTTACACTGCTTGTTTGTTTGTTTGTTTGCTTTTAACATTTTCAATGAACTTGCCCAACAACAGAGGCTAAACTGAGGGTCATTATTGTCAATGTTATTTCCATTAAACTCAGACTACATACATATGTATTGTTGCTGTTCTTTCCGTTGTTTCTGTTGTTATGCTTAGCATTATTATTGTCACTACTAACACAGCAAGTGTAACAGCACAGCAACTGATGCTGTTATAGCTAATGTCCCCCTTTACTTGCTGTTGTTGTTTCTGTTGATGTCTGCCTGAAGTGTTAATTAGCGTGGCAAAGAGTTGATTTTGATTGATTTGCTTAAAACTTTCTCGTCTGTTGGTCTGTCCTATTGTATGTGAACTTTGACATAACAAGTTATGTTAGAAAAATATAGAATTTCATACTAAATAAATGTGTAAACAACAAAAATATTTTTTTGAATAATGAAAATGAAAATAATGGTAAAAATATTTATGTTTTTTATGACTTGCCATTTGAAGTCGAGACGTAAAATCTTAAGTCATTGTGTACTCACGAGTCGCACACGAGTTTAACTTATTTTGGTTGACAAGTGATTTATTAATCTACTTAAACTGTTAATTAGGTGCCCAAATATTAAAGTATATTGAATTTATTAGTAAATTTTTCCATATGTTTGCCGTCAGTAATAATATTAGATAGAATTTTTTTTTTATAGGCTTAAATTCTTAGGTGTTAGTTAGCTGAGCTGCTACTTTCGTTACTCTTAGGTGATGTCTTAATCAGTTACGTGAAAACTGTCGTGGGAGTAGAAGCGTGACAAAGCTCTTTGCAAGATGTTAATCCTCAAACTTGTGATTAGTTTAATATTCTTGAGAATTTCATTGGTAATCGCTGGTACCGGCGGTACTGTGAATATAACGGATTTTGTGCAACATCGTCAGAAAAGACATCTCATTTTTCAGAATGGCGGTACTATTAAAGTGAGTTTAAGAACATTAAGGATATATTAAAGGAAAAAAAACAGACTATTTTGCAATAAATAATTTAATTTCATAAGAAAAAAATTTTATGAAAAAAAATTTCATAAGAATAAAATTAGTGAGAAAAAATTTATTTATCCAATAGAAAAACATTAACATTTAAATTCAATTAATAACAAACAGACTATTTTGCAATAACTAATTTAATATCATAAAAAAAAAATTTTATAAAAAAAATTTTCAAAAGAAAAAAATTTAGAAAAATCTCTTTTTTCGAATAGAAAAACAATAACATTTAAATTCAATTAATAATAATTTAAATTATTATTATTATAACAATAATTTTTTCTAATTATTGTTTCTATAATTATAAACTTTTACACTTTTATTACACACTTTTGTGTGTTCTTAAACGGACATATTATTCAATAATATTAAATAATACACAAATTTTTAAAATGCTTATTAAAAAAAATTTTTTATGGTTACTATAGTCTACAGTCATTTTGAGGGTACCTTAAAATATCGGCGACTGTAAAATTTATTTTTCTATAAATAATTAAAAAAAAAGTGTTTCAAAAAGTAGTGAACTACAACGACAAAAATTCTTATTTTTAAATTATTTTAATTTATATTTAATTTAATTTTTGACTGACCATACAGCTGTTTCAAGTAATGTCAAAAATACCCATCATTAGTGGTCTTGGAAATAATTCTTGTATTTAAATATTCGTAAATAATTTTTAAGACTGCAATTACCAGAAATCGAACTTGTGCACCGCCAAATTTCAAGCTCAGAGTCAGCGTTTATAGCCAACTGACACAAATCCGTATTTGATTTTTATGTTTAAATAAATAAATAATTAAAAATAATTTGTAATAAAAATTAAAATAAAAATATTGACTTACAAGTCCGTTCAAAAATATGTATATAAAATTTGGTCATTAGACAAGTAATGATAAAAACATTTCTAAATTTAAATAAATTTAGATAATGGCAAATGTTAAAAATTCATGTTCATTGGATACAATTATCAGAAATTTTGTGAACCCATTTTGAAATTTTGCAATACCAAATGTTTGAAATTAGTAATTAGTAAGAAAAATTTTGGGGAAAAACACGGACATGATTTTTGAATACATCATAGCAGATGAAAAAGTACATAAAAAACGGCAAATTTTTCGTATGTTCTCACTTAGCAAAAAAATTTTTAAAAATAATAAAAAAATTGTTAAGAAAATTTTGTATGGGCGATACGTGTTGCAGTAGACAGAGTGTCACGAAACTTTTTAAGCCTTAGTGATACGAGGCTCAAATCACTCAAATCAGTACAAGTAGTTTCCATCCTAAATTTTATTTCTCCATATTTTATTGTTTCTGATGTATTAAAAAAAGTAGAAAAGTTAACCATGTTTGGTCTCAACTTTGGAGGGATTTCGGGAAGTCGATTGGGTTTGCAAAAAAAGCCAAAAACTACACTCATGAAAAACTTTTTGTCACACTGTGCATCGGTTAGAGTGGCGGCCGAGTAAACTGAAGCTCACCCGAGCACAAATAATAGGCTAAACTACTGTTGAGTACATAAACTAAACTAAAGTAACAATTTTTTTAAAGTCAAACCTATCCTATAATGTGGCCCTATGCTCTACTTAGAAGAGAGGTAGTTTAGAGGTAGTTAATTTATTGAGGTTTGACTGTTTCGAATATTGATAAATTGATTTAGTTGCAGTGGGAACATGGTATTAGTTAACTGATTATATTAAGCTAAATTTTGATATTAAACAGATGTATATAATCATTTAATTAAGTTGAGATCAGGTCATTGGTTTGATTTTTATTTCAGATTTTAAGTTTATTGATTTTTTAACTTATTTTGAAATCGAAACATGTTTATAGAATTTATATATCAAAGGTTTTCTATTTCTATTCCGTATATTATGTGCCTAGTTCCTTTTATTTTTTTTTTAGTTCGTGTACTTGATATAGTAAAGTAGTACTTGAAGTTTTGAAGTTATATTTCACTGAAACATAAAAATATCTAGAGGTAGTTAAGCACACTTTCTAATCAGAACTTTTTCAAAACAAGACTTAATTATTTTAACAACTTCCGTCAAAGCTTGATTTTATTAAGTGTTAAATATAGTTAAGACAATTTTTAAATATCACTAATATTCTACTATATTATCATTATCGCAGCTGTCACTCGGCCCATCTATGCCGGTGCCACTAGACGATCCGGTTACTTGGCGTGCACTTGTCTGTTCATATAATTTACAAGGTGGACATTATACAATGCCAACAACTCCGCTTTATCCTTGGGATAAATGGGAACATATATTCTCTCGCTCACTTAAAAAAATAGAAAACAATATAAGAGCAGATAATGGACGAGATGATGCCCGGTTATTTGTATACACAGCACTTGAAAACTATATGAGCAGAAAGAATGGAAATGGACGTGCTTGCTTACTGCGCTCCATATGTGAAAATGCGCAAGTGGATCATTATGTCGGAATATTCGGTACAATTTTAAATATTGTGCTAACGTAAGTGTTATTGTTTATGAGTAAAAATATATTTTTTCTATTTTATATTATAAAATATAGACCCGGTAAGCAGCAGTTGAATCCAGTATATACAGCGGCGAGTGAGGCTGGTAAACTTGGCGCGGATTGTATGAAACTGTATGCTGATTGTCCTAGTGGGGCTAATATCTTAGATGGCTTTTTGCATGATTGGTGATAAAATTACCATTAAAATTTCATAATAATAATTTAAAAAAAACAAATATTAATTCAATTAAATTAAGAGCATTATGTGAATATTTTGCAATAGTTTTATTTGTTTTTTTTTTTTTGTTGAAATCTGGTCCGCATAAATTTTCTTACTTATTTCGAATTCAATGAAAATCACTTTTTAAATCACTACGTCCATTCGTGAGCAATTTCCTACAACCGACAACAAACTGCTATGAACAGCTGAACAGAAGAGTAGGATACATATCCAAGCAGCCATTTTAGCAAAGCATAGATTTAGTTGTCAGCAGCCATTTGGTATTCCGGTGGCACGTTAACGCCGTGCAAGAATTTAGTCAAGCAAGCGTGAAGGTACCTTTATATTGCAAATTGATGCTATTGAGTGATTTTTAGCTTTCGCACGCACACAACACTAATCTCAACAACAACACCACTAACAATACCAACAACACCACTAACAATACCAACAACACCAACAACCATAATAACATCACCAATAGCGTAAGCAACACCAAAATCAAACATCATCAACATCATTATTATCAGTAGCAACACCAATATTCATCGCAGGCATCTATCGCATCCATCGCAACCATCGCTTCCATCGTATCCATCGCATCAATTCGTCTTTACTCAGTAACAAGTAACCAGAGTAGAAGTAGCTACATAACTACACTAACTACACTAACAGCAATGCCAGCAGTAGCAACAACAGCAATGAGATGTCATGTCAGGGGCCGCATTGTTATCACGTTCAAGTTATTCCATTCCTCGCATACAAAGGCATTTGCCACCTTCCTTTCTCAGACCAAAACCAAAGGTTGTTGCTTTAGAAACTTTGAAAGAATAATGCTAATTTATGTGTAAATAAAATTTCTAATTTATTGTTTATTTTGTTATTGAATTGTTGTGTTCGGAGGAATTACTACAAGAGCAGCTGAAAATGGAGAAAGGATAATTTGCAAAGTTTAAAGGTGAAAGAAGCTGTATTAGGCTATATAAATATTTGAAAAAAAAATAAATATTTATATATTGTGGTTTAAAAATAAGTGAGTATATACTCCAATTATATTTAGGAAAAAGCAAATATAAATTAATAAAATTATACAAATTAAAAAAAAAATGCACCATTTTATCCAATTCTATGGTAGGTCAAGTAAGAATTTGATTAAATAATAATTTATTTTATATATATTTTAAATATATATATATATATATATATTTATATAGAGAACGATGTAAAAATAAAAACTGGTGGTTTTTTTATTTCACCATGAATTTTAAAAAACAGAAACTCTTAAAAAAGTGAACTTAAAACTATTCTAAATTATTTATTTAGTTTTTAAGAAAAAATTTCGCTAGAGAGGTTTCGAAAAGTAGTGAATTATAGCAACAAAAATTTTTCATTACTTTCATTACATTAGTTCACTATTTTTTGAAACCTCTCTACACTTCCGTCATAATTGACGTTAAATTACCACTTTTATTAAAAAAATAAATTTTACAATTAAATAAAATTTAAAAAAAAAATAAATATGAGGGCCATTCGAATAGTCTTATGCCTAACATATAAACTTATTTTCAGCGGCTTAATGTCCGATTTGTTGTTCCAATGTATATATGTTCGCAATTGTTATCCTTACAATTTACCTGATACTATAGCATTAGACCATTGGAGTGTTACCTATTCAAGCGACCTTATCTTTTTTGTGTGAAATTATTTTTTATTAATTCAAATTATAAAAGTTTGTGGAAATAATCAATTTTCACCCACCTTTTGCCTTGACTATGGCCTTCAAAAATGACCATCAAAAAAGGAGTTGCATGCTTTATGAATATGATCTGCAGGTATTTAGGCCCACTCCTGAACTACATCTTTCTTCAACGCACTTATACTGGCATTTTTTAAATCCTTACCTTGCTCTCCAAAATAGCCAAGATGAAAAGCCATTATGTGGACAAAATAAATTTTGGATTATGACCATTCTTTTTTTAATTATTCTTGGTTCATACGAACTTTGTGAGACTGTGGCGTGTTTTGTTGAAACATCCATGGTTTACGAACCAAATGTTTGCGTGTCAAAGGTTCTAAAGCAACTTTCAAAACATTTTCCCAATAATAAGTCGCACTGACTTTGACACCAGGCTCTATGAAAACGATTGGTAAGCGTCTATCGGCGGTCACAGCTGTCCATACTATGACTTGAGATGAAATATTTCATCGCCGTTACTGGTTAAATTATATCAAACTATTGAATATTAAATAGCTTAATTCTTTTTCAATAAGGCCAAAATCAATTCTCTGATTTACATACGTAGTGGCAAAACTTTCTTATATACCTTCTGTTCAAAAAGTACTCGGATTTTGTAAATAAAACACACAAATTTAAATTTTATTTCAAATTTATTTTATCTCCTTCAAAATATGCTCATTCTGAAGCGATACACATATGCCAACGCTTAACCCAATCTTCCATACACTTTTCGTAGACCCGTGAAGGTATAGCTTTTAGTTCCTTCAGCGAATTCTCTTTTACCGCTGCAATCGACTCAAAACACTTACCACGAAGGGGCAGTTTGAGTTTCGGGAACAGGAGAAAGTCGTACGGATTCAGATTTGGCGAATATGGTGCCTGAGCGATAACAGTGGTACCGTGTTTAGTCAAAAAATCGCGTACAATAAGAATTTTCCATAGTAAAAATCGCTAAATGCACTTGAGGTAGTCTCACATTAACAGCTGCTGTAAACAAACCAATTGACAGATGACGCTCAAATTTGTACCATATATCAAGAAAGGGTGTATCAATATAACAAAAAAAAAATTTTTGAAAAAGGTCTATTACTTAAGAAGTAGTTAACCAACAACAAAATCCGGATACTCTCTGAGTATCCTTCTATGTATGCGGAAGTACTTAAAGGATTTCACAAAGCATTAAAAACAACACAAATACGAAAACGGAAATATTTTTGGATAAATATTCCAAATAGTTATTTTTTCTTCTAAATTTAACATCATTACACAGAAAAAAACATTATTTCTTTCTCCAAGTGTTGATAATTCAAATAAAATGAGAAAATTTTGTGGCACGAATCCTAAAATTTTATTTGTGAGCTGCAAATCCAAAGCCAAGTATAAAACGCATTTCACACGAACGCTAATTGTGCATTTTAATGTAATTAAACATGTGAAGAACGTGCAACATATGCAACATTTGCCACACACTCTTGCATGAGTGACACAAAATATTCGTACATATGTTGCAAGTGGAAGTTTTGCTTTTTAGTGCAAAATAAAGCTGTCAACTACAATATTAAGGGAACACCAGAACAACAACTGCAGCAGCAACAACCTCGACTTGGCAAATGTTGCAAGTATGCAACAAATGCGGATTATAAATGCGTTGAAATTCGTTTCAACTGCCACATTATATTACTTGGCTGAAATGTCTTTGTTAGTGTGCGTTTAAGCACATAAATTGTTTTGTAAATGTGGCATTGTGTGCGTATGTGACTAATTTGGAAAACGTTTCTACAAGCCACCAACAGATTCAAGCACTTCAGCGTACTAACATAAATATCTACTTGCGAAGATGCCTACATTTGTGTTGTGGGTTTGCTTGTGTGAGACACATGAACTGACAGTAAGACAGACAAATAATTAGTAAGATTGCAGCAAGTGTAGTGGCTTCTTCCTGTTACTACAGAACACTTGTAAGCCTATGTTTCGCCTGCCCACATTTCTCTCTCGCCCATTAACAGAAAATGTTTTCACTTTGGCGTGATATATTTTATATCGAAATAATTACCATGTCTTGAGGCATATTTTTTGAGACGCAAATTGTTCCATTGAGTTTTTTAGGCTAAAATTTTTTTTAGAGAGGTTTGTGTAGTATTAAATTGCAACAACAAAATTTTTAATTTATTTTTAATTCATTGAATTTTTGACTGACCATACAGTTGTTTTGAGTATAGTACACATCGTTAGTGGTTTCGGAACTATCACATATTTTGGGTAGTTCCAATAACAATTAAAACTGAATCTATAAAAAAAACTAATATACAATATTTTTGCATTAAATAAATGCGTTATTAAAAAAAAAAAAAGAAGTTTGTCAATTTAAAATCAAATTAAAAATGTCTACCACTCTATTGGATATACCAATCCAACCTTATAAGATTCTAATTAGAATATCCAATTTGTTAACCAATGAAGTATCAAATAAATTTGTATATGAGCCATACGTTCCACATACAACGTATGTGGTTTATTTCTTTACTTAACTGTTTGCTTGCTATATTAATATTATTTTTGTCTACAAACTATTCTAATATTACTTTGAGTCACTGTTGTTGATATTTTTTTAAGTAAAAACTGTTATAATTTCTAATAATATAAACTGCGCTTGGTAATGCTCAAGAAGTGTACTTGAAATTCGCCCTTCTATTCCTGTCGTCTGCTCTCAGTACGTACAAATTGTTTGCTATTGCGCTCATTTAATGTATTGAATATCGACAATACAAATTCTCGCAAAAAATAAAACAATTGATGCTGCTCTATGACGTAGAGTTTATGTTATAATCGCAAAGCATTTGATCGCAGTTATTGTTAAGTGTCTGCAATAAAATGAAAGCAATTATGGGGTCGGTAGTTTATGTGAGGAAAAGTGCGAGCAAAAGTGTTTAATCGGAATTTTTATAAGTGAAAATAATTAAATTATATTCAATAAATTAATTAAATAAATTATTGTCTTCAAATGAGTCGTTAATAAAATAGTTCATACAACATTAATAAATTTTATAACGGTTTCGTTTAATTGTTAAAAAAATATATAAAATAAACAACCAACGCATACAACCAACGAAGTAATCATTATTAAAAAGAATATTACATATTATAATAAATATCAATAATAATAATTAATATTAAATAATCTACAATAATAAATTAAAATTAAATAACATTATAATTAAATTAAATTAAGCACGCACATACTTTAGAAAAGGTAAGTGAGCATGCAATTTATTATTTTTTTTTAAATAAAATATTTTTCCATTATTCAAATATCTTAAAAATAACAACAAAAATATATGTGAAGTGCAGTTATTGCAGTACACGGAAAGCTTCTCATTCATATGTTTTGTCGTTGTAAGTTTCGCTAATCCCATTTGTTTAATGCAAAAACACTGTATATTAGTTTTTTATATTGTTAAGGCATTTTCATAATTCGTTGAATTGTTATTGCAACTGCCCAAAATATGTGCTCAGTTTTGGGAACAGTTTCTGTTCTCATTTATTATTTATGAATTTAAAATTGATTGATCTGTTCTTACGCTTTGCAACTACAATTGTAATAGTTGAAGTTGCTTTTTACAGAGAACAGTTCAAATAAAAAGTACAGTATGAAATAAATTAAAAATAGTAAATCGGAGGCATCTTTTAGTACTGATCATTTTAATTAAAGGCAAAAATATTAAAGGCAAAAATAAGTTTTATATGAAATAAA